CAGTTAAGTAAATACTTACAACAAAAAGGAAGGACTGCATTACAAACAGAGAGATTAAACCTATGATGAAATAGAACAGATATTACAAAACAAACCTTAATACAAAGGCTGTACAACAGAACAAAATCACCAGGGCATAGGCAATAATGTGGGATATAAGATGTGTTCTGGTTTTTGGAGGTGACTGCAGAAGTAAGACTTATGTAGTGGTGGAGATGCACTGTCTCGCAGTCTTTACCTCTGTTTGCAAAACCTCACATGTAAAGAAAATAAGAAAGAATAGAAATAAAACAAGATAAGAGAGCAAAATGTGAGTGGTCAAGGCCACAACATCCCACATCTATATCATCCTTCACTACCTGCAGACAGTTGTGGGAAGGTGACTGCTCTCAGTGGAGAAGTGAAAAATAAATATGAAAAAGAGAAAGAAAAGTCCTACCATTGGGGGTGGTGAACAATAAAACCTTATTTTGGCCAACTTCAGGTCATATGAAACGCACATACACAAATTATGTCTCATCTGCACTGTGTTTCTCATTTCAAATGATTAGTTAGGAAAAAATTAATCTTTCTTGTAGTAACTGTCATCTGAACTTCTTCAGTTAGCTATTCAGTTGGCCGATGTAATAAATATGCTGCTTTGTATTTGAATAGTGTTGTGATAAAGCTTAATAAAAGTTGACCTAAACAAAAATGGGTAAACCAAAAACATTACACAGTTTTAAATAGACACTGTTGAGCTAACACTATATACCAAAGTAAGTACTGCCAAATGAAAGTGTTTCAAGGCTGTCTGAGCACTTGACAAAATCTGATAATTGTTCAGATTCTATGAAACATAAAATCTAAGAGGAACGTGGAAACAGTCTTCACAACTTGTCATATTTCTATTGTAACATGAACTGTGTGTCCTCCCATGTTGATGAAGATATAAGTATAATTTTTTTCAAGGTGCAGTAAAATACAAGTGTATATATATGTGATTTTTGCTATAAGCCTATAAAGCTATGTTAAGCAAATATGGATATAACATAGCATAATATTGTTACACTACTGAATAATGCTCAGTTTTAACAATTTTTTTCTGGAAAAGCTGTTTTACATAAGATATGATGAACTACTGAATGGGGTTCTTACCAATTTTGGGAAATAGTGTTGCAGTATTCAAGAATGCCAGATGCTAACAAGAGCATGAAGGAGCAGTAACACAGACAACTTTTTTTTATAAAGCAAAAAGCCTGAAAAAAGAAAATCAAACAGTGTATTGTTTTCTGTAGTTTTATGTTGATCATCTAGTGGCTATTTTTCTGTTTTTTACTGTTTGCATTGTGTTTTTAATGAATGTATAAAGTTACTATAAATTAAAATAAGAATAAATTGATTAAAGATCCATTTTACAGAGATACAGTTTATGTATAAAATGTCCCATATAACAACAAAATACTTATCCTGGAACTAGCTTTGTTATTCTGTCTTAAATGTGCATAATTCTAACTTTAATAAGAGACAGAGACTTAGCTATGCCTGCCAATTTTGTGTAAACTATCTGTCTAACTGAAAGAACAAATAAAGCTGCTTAGAATCTGATTGATAAATGGGTTAAGGGAGATTAGATGTCATCTTAAAGCATATACTTCTGAAACAATAACTCACCTCATCATAAAGAAATTCTATCTTCCTTGCACATCTGCATATGAGATTTAACTTCTATATGCAGTAACTCCCCCTATACATTTGCACTAGTGATAATTTCATTCTTCTCCCTAACCTTCCAATCTCATTTTGGATTTCATTTTCTGATATAATCCTTTTCTTATCTTTTGCCTGTGTCCTTTAACATTTCTCATTTTTTACTTTATGATCTAAATTCTAAGGGTTTACCTTATTTTTCCTCCTTGCTAGTTATTGTTGTTTTTTTTATAGTGCTTCTCTCACACTCAAATGCCTCATCCCCCTTGCATTCATGACTTCTTTTTATCCTGATTTGTAGACATTCTTCCTTTCCTTTCTTAATTCTCTGTCTTTGGTATCTATTTGGCCTGCTTGGGGATTGGGCTCCTTGCCTTCTGTTTCTCTTCCTGGTTCCCCATTTTCACGTCTTTGTCTTTTACTCACCACCCTCCTGTATTCTCTCTCTCCAACCTCCATTTTTTATCTAAGGCATTTTATTGTACTCTACAGAGGTTATCTGTAGAAGTTTGTTCTCTTGTCTTTGCCAACTAAACTTGTTTCACTTCTTCTGCTCTTTCCCTCCTTACTTTCTTCCCATGATTTTGGAATGGGTTACATTTCTCTTTATTGTATACCTTCCTCCTTCTTGTGCACATGGTCTTTGTTGGGCTCTCTTACTTCTCCCAGACATGTTCCGTAAAAGCCTCGACTGACATTATACAACTTCATTCCTCGTTATATTTCCAGGTTCTTCTTCTTTCTTGACCTTGCCCTTTACTCCTGTTCCTTATTTGGATCAGTCTACCCCAAACCTTCCCATTCCACGTTCCAGGCTTTCTTTATTTTTTCATTATCTTTGTACCACGAGTGTAATTCACTGTTCCTACATGTCTAATATGCAATGTGGGTACCCATCTCTTTCTTTTCTCCTGTTGTTGGTCTCATTTCTGCTGACAATCATTTTCCATTTCTCCACCATGGTCTCTCCTCACTTCTCTTCTCTTTGCTCCTCTTTCCATTTCCTTTTCTTCTCTCTTTGACCTAGTCTATGACATTTCTCACTTGGTCTGTGGTTGGCCATTGTCAATGTGTCAGACACCCTCCTATGTGTCTCTCTTGACCCATCCTCCTTATATTTTATATTTTCCATCCATCAGATTTGTGTCTTCCAATTCCTTGCTCTTACCATCAACATAACATTGGCTCCTGTTGTATTCATTTGTATCGTGAAGGCCTTTGCTTGCCATATTCATGGCCTGGG